ACCTATTATTATAGTATTAGAAATTCTTTATTTGGTAATGACTGTGTTTGTCTTATAAACAACCTTTTTAGCTTGCAGATATTATATTCCAGATAAATAAAAAAGGGCGTTAGTAGGAACTTTTTTTTTATTATTTTTAAATATTATTATTATAATTGCTTAAAAGGAATCTTAAGGCAATATTCGATAAAGTGACTATGCAATATTTTTTGTATAAATAATATTTTAAGGATTAGTTTATCATAATTATTATATGATAAATTAAATATTTTATATTTTTTATTGATATGAAATAATAAATATATAAATATAAAAATAAATATATATATATATATATATTATATATATATATTTATATAATTATTAATTTTAGTATTTTTAGTATTTTATTTATATATATCTATTTTATATTTATTTCAATTTTTTTTCTTAATTAATCTTTTTCCTTATTTAATTTCTTCAAGTAAATGTAAATAATCATTAAATGTATATTTTTCCTATTTTTAATTTGATTGTTTCACTCTTTCTTTTAAACTTAAATACTCTTCCCCATATAAAAATAAATTTCTATCTGTTCTAATCAATTTATGGAATTCTTTCAAAGTAATAAGTTAGTTGTGATATTAATATTTTAGTTTTTATTTATAATCTTTTAAAGTAGGCATATCCTTATTTACAACATGTTTTTCTTTAAAAGCATTTATAATTTTTTAATTAATTTAATTAATAGTATTTTCTTCATCATAAAGTAAATTTATATTTTTCTTTTTTTCTTTTTCTTTTTCTTCTTGTTCTTATTTCTTTATTTTTTCTATTTCTAATTCAATACATGTTTTTTTTTCAGGTTCTTTTTATTTATTAAAAAATTTAGTTTTAGCAAATTATATATATTGATTATAATTTTTAAATGATTAATAAAGTTTTTTGTATTAATTATTATTTAAGTATTCGTTTAAATTTCCATGCACCTAATAATATTCATCATCATTAATAAAATTTCCTATTATTTTAAATTTCTTATCAAATTCATTCTTATCATTTTCATATCTAGCTTTATTTTCAATATTCTTTTATAAATTTTCCTTAGATATAAAAGAACTATATAAATTATTTTTATAATCATAAAAAAATTCTAAAGGATAAATCATATCACAAAATTCGTCAAATGTAAGATGTAAATCATTTTTTTTACCATATCTAAATCCAATAAACCTAAAGTCATTTATTTAATAAATCATTTTAGAATTAGTATTAATAAATTTAAATAAACTAAATAAAAATAAAGAATAACATAATATATATATATATATATATATATATATATATATATAAAAATATATATACATATATATATATATATTTTTTTTTATAATTTAATTTTTTTTTCAAATACTTTTAAGCGTTAATATTATCATTTTTATTTTCATTTTTATTAACACATATAAAAGGTTCATTATAATTCCAACCGAAATTTTACATAAAATTTATTTTTTAATTTTCTATTTCTCTAACAAAATTAATTTCTGATTCAAATATTTATGATATTTTTTAACTTATAGAAGGAGCAACATTAATAGTATCTATAACATCTTCATATTAATCTTCTAAATCATAAAATTAATTTCTTAATATTTTGAGATATAGATCTTTTTATTCTTTTGGAATTATAAACTTAAGAAATCTATTAATATATATAAATAAATATATATATATATATATATATATATATATATATATATATATATATATATATATATATACATAAATAAAATTACAATTTTTTGATATTTTATTTATATTTTATATGTCAATTTTTTTTTATATATATTTATTTATCTAATTTTATCTTCTATATAATTTTTATTATTTATATCATATTTTTTTCAATACTTTAGAATTTTATATTTTATATAAAACATATATATATATTTTTGTTATACTCTTTATATGTTAAACTACATTAATTTTCAGAATATTAATTTATTAAAAATTAAATATCTTTTAATGTTGCTCGAACTTAATTTTTACGTAAAAATTATTAAAGATCTGGAATAGTTATTTTTTCATTATATTATGATGATATATATTTAAATATTTGTGAAGGATTAAATTATATTTATTAAATCAAATTTTCTTTTTATTGTTCAATCTTTTTATATATTAAAAATCAAATTTAATATATTTATTTTTTTCATATATACTTATTTAAGCCCATTTATTATATTAAATATTAATTCTGATAATTTTATTTCATATTAATAATATTATTTATCACATCTATTTTTCATTTTTTTTATATTTAAGTTTTTTTTTTTAAACAAAAACATAAATTAATTAATATATATGAAATTAATAATTATTGACAATGTTTTATTTAATTTTATAATTATTTATAGCTATTAGATATTAAAAACTAATTATATGTAAAAAAAGCATTTACTTTATTTTAACTAAAAATAAAAACATAAATAAAAATTAAAAAAATATAAACAGGAAAAAATAAATGTAAATACATTTAACATTATACGATCATTAAAATCAAAAAAAATTCTTAAAATGTTTAGGTTTAGGAATATACCACACAGGTATCTAAATTGGAAATACTGAATATCATTTTAGGGGTCATTTAATGTAAAAAACAGGTGTTTCAGTAAAAAATCCAAATGAAAAAGTTACTAACTTTGTATTTTCAAAATCAATTTATTTAGGCATATGTTATTTAAATGATTAATAAATAAATAAAATTCTAGATGAATTAAAACAAAAGTACCTAGGGCCTACATATGATGTATTAGATAGAAATTGTAACCATTTTACAAATGAAGCCTCTTCAAAATTATTAAAGAAAAGTATTCCTACATTTATAAACAGAATTGCAAAATTGGCAAAAATGGTAAGATGTTGTTTACCTTAATAATTTTAAAAAGGAGCTTTTAGTGATCCTACTAGAGATAAATAATTTTAGGAAATAAATATCTAGAATAAAAATAATAATTAAAGTAATGGATTTAAAATGATAAATGATAATACAAATATAAATATAAATATTAATAAGAATATAAATACAAAAATAAATAATAATGTAAAAATAAATTATTTAATAGATAAGTAAAATAATAATAATAATATTAATAATAAAAATTATATAAATATAAATTAAATAAATCTTTAATAAATTAATTAATAATAAGTTTAAATTTTAAATGAAAATTAATTAATAAATAACTAAATAAGATGAAAAAATAAATAAAAAAATATATAAATAAATTCTAATTTTTTTTTTATTATAAATATAATATTTAATATATATATATATATATATTATATATATATATTTATAAAAATTATGTATATATATATATATTTAAAAATACAAAAAATAATATTGTTTATTTAATTAAGAAAAATTCAAGTATATTTAATTTAAATATTCATTTAATATTTATTTGAATTATATCATTTTTATATTATTAAAATTCATCAAGATTAATGTATAATTTATATTCTAATTCTTATAAAAAAGTGTATTCCAATATAGACATTTCTGTATCGGTTATTCCTCCAATTTTTGAGTATAATTTTAATGTTTAAGTAAAGACTTGTATATCTTCAAACATTTTTTAAGCTATCATTATAGCTGTTAAAAGCATTCTATATTTATATATTAATATTAATAATTAAATAATTAATATAATAAAAAAAATATAAATTATTTTATTTTTTAAAAAGATAATTAATAATATATATAGATATTTATTTATAATATTTTTTATTTATTTAATTAAATTTATATATATATATAAATCTATATATATTTTTATTTATTATCTATTTTTATATTTGGGTGGGGGTTTTGTATTAAATTATTTAATTAAATTTATTTAAAGAGGTTAAAAATACTAAATTAAAATATAATTTTTTATTTAATTTTTTGTTTTTATTTTTTTTTTGTAAAAAAATAAAAAAGAGTTTTTTAGTATTTTTCTAAATAAAAATATATATGTATTATTATTATTTTTTTATTATTTTTGAACTTATAATTTTTTTTTTTATTTTTTTAAAAATATAATAAATCAAATTCAAATTTAAATATCTTTTTGATATTAATAAAAATATTTAGTGGGTATATTTTAAGATTTAAAATTAATTAATTAAAATAAAATAAATATTTTACCTATGACAAGTATATTTATTAATTGTATATTTAGTGTTAATACTAGTTATTTTGTCCATATAATAAATAGCTACTATAAGTAAATTCTCATCACATTCAGTATATTTTATTATCCTTTCTAAATAATCTCCTATAGTTATTTAGGGTACAGTTTAATTATAAAAACAATTTCTTAAGGAATTATTTTTAACTTTATCAGATAATTTTAGAATTTCTTATAATAGTTAAACAATTTTATTAAATATGAGTTCTTATTATTTCTTTTTTTATTATTTTTAAAATAATAAAACAAATATAATACATTTTTAAAAAGTAGTGGTTTTAAATTTTTATTAGAAAATATTTATAGATTTTAAATAGGATTTTATATTATTATATTTTTCTAAAACTACCTATCAAAAAATTTGGTATAATCCTAGTTAATAATTTCCATATATAAAATATTTTTTTAATATTTATTTATTTTATTTATACAAAAAAAAAATATTTAAAAAAAAATTATTATATAATATTTAAAAAAATTGCATCATTATTTTTAGAACAAAAAAAGTTAAGCTAATGATCATTTTTTATATTGTGGGTTATATAGATAAAAAAATATAATTTTAATTTATATATATATATTTAAATAATTTTATAATAGTTAGATTGTAATCTAAATTTATATATATATATTATATGAATAATTTTTCATAATTATTTTTTTAAAAAAAAATAAAAAAATTTTTATCTTTTCATTTATAAAAAAAAAAAAAATGAATTTTTTATAAATAAGAAAAAAGTAGAATTTATTTTTTTAATTTATCATTTTTTTTAACTAAAAAAATCTTCATCGTCTAATTCTTAAATAATTTCCTTTATTTCTAAATAGTAACTGTCTTATGTTTTTTGTTTTTATTAAGGAAATATATTTGTTTCCTTTTTTATTTTTTATTATTTTATTCATCTGTCTATATTATTGTTTTTTATTCATTTTTTATATTATTTTCATTTAAATTGGTCAAAATTAGATTGCATTTTTTAAAATATTTTTATTTTATGTATTATTTATTATATAAAAAAGGCTATTTTATATCTTACATTATTTTTATTTCTTCCTCAAAGTTTTTATCTGAAAAAAACAAAAAAGTTGGATTCCTAAAAAAGGTAAGAAAAATGACCTTTTTAATATCTATTAAGCCCAGCTTTTCCGTAATGCATATTGTTAAGAAACTCGAAAATTTAATAAACCTATTAAATGAATTATTGAAAAATAACCAATTGTGGAATATATTGTAGCTTTTATTTGACTGTTTTTGCATAATAATATTATTTTTGATCTGTTTTGTAACCATTTTTCCTCAGTTTTATATATAAGAAGAGGATTTATGGATAAAATTTCTTTAAGTTAATTGATTCGTTCATGTTTTTAATCAGTTGAAAAATATTTTTTGTATAGTTTTTCGAAAAATATATCAAAATATTAATTCATTTATTTAAATATTTTTCTAGAAATTTATTATATGAATCAAATTAAAATTAAAAAAAAAATATTTAAATAAAATAAATAGATAATATAAAATATACAAAAGAAGGTAAAATATTTTATGTTATTAAAAGAACAAAATAATGAAATTTTATATACTAATTTAAAAAATTATAGATAAATAAAAATAAATAGTATATATATGATAAAAATAAAATGAAATAATTAAATATAAAATAAATAATTTATTCATAACTATATATATAAAAAATATATATAATAAATATATATATAAT